CACCTTTCCTCCTCAACAAGTTATTCTGAAGAGTCTGAGTCACTGTAACTACGTGGTCTCATTGTTGGTATGTTTCCTCACAAATTGGGGAACGGTCAGTTGAATTGTTCAGGTTTTTATTTCAGGGATTAGGAGGATGTCAGGGCAACTAGACACCACAGTTAAATTATCAGCCAGAGATTAGCAATTCCTAGAACTCTCAATGACTCAGGAATAATACTCCTAACCTGTCCAGCCTTTTCTCTGTCTGATCTGTCACTGCCCCTTTAGTTTGGTTTCACTCGTATCCATCCGCCGCTGTTCCAGAAAGTGAGTTTCTAGCCTCTTTTCAACTGCACATCCCCCTAAATGATGCTTTTGGCTCTATCAGTGAAACGGTGTATTCTTGCATTTCATCTCCAGTCGCCTGTCAGGCTACAGCAGAATAAATACATTTCTGACTCTTATGTATATTATACAGCGAGATTACGCCACTTCATCATGCATTAAGGAAATTCAAGTCTGGTAAATAATGTATGAGTACACTACACTGGATCAAAACGTAATTGTTGACTGTGCTCTCCGGCTCTTTTGCTTCTGCTTCAGTGTGTTTTTAAAGATATGTATTATACATGCATTCATAGTTCTAGCTGCTCTGGATTAAAATGGAGGCTCATCTAAATTCCTTCCGTTGCCGTGGTGAATTGTGTCATCGGAGCTGATTAGGGTCAGGTTTTGTCTCGCGTCCACATGGTTAACAGGAGTTTTGGGAGAAGTCCTGGGTTTGAAAAGCATATCCTCTACTTTATTACTCTGTTTCTTCCCTGCATTCCTGCTGTGATTCACTGATAGCCTCCATGTACTTTCACTCGTCTCCTTCTCTGCTGTCTCCAGTAACAGAGCCCCCCCCCCCCCCTTAAAAGAGGAAGACAGTCATCTGATAGAGTCATTTCCCCATTTGTTTGATCATTTGCTCTTGAGACTCAGTGGGTCATGTCCAGTAGATCAGCTGATCTGTGTTACTGCTCTCTGAGCCTGAAGGCGCCTCCTGCTGGCCGACATCAGATCTGCGTGCGCTGAAGCTTCATTTCCAGGAAATGATTTCAGTGGGAGGGATGTAGGTTTAGCAATCTGAGGACCACAGTGGGAAAGAATGTGAGCACAACAATGGAGCCGTATGGATCACTTTTCCAGCAGGAGTTGCTGGGACAGAGCTCTATTCAACACGGATAATACTTAGGCTGTATAACCTTTGCAATTATTATTATAACTTCGCAAAACTCATATCACTAAGGATTATTATGGAGTTACACGGTAGATTTTGAGCAATACATTTTTTTTTAAGAATGGTTATCTTTGTTAACACTAATACACTATGGAATCAGATCTGCCAATAAGATCACCTTTTTCAGTACCGAGAAAAGATAAGAATTTGAGAGAATCTAAAACTTGGTGGGATCAGTAATCAGTGGGAAAGAACCAAAGTAAACAAAAGAATATGTTTAAAACAGGACAAATGCTAATAGTTAACATGATTACACAAATACATTTCCCTGTAATCAGTGAGATGGTGGTGTTACGGTGCACAGCATCGAGGCAGGTGGGATGTGTTGCTACTGTGATGTCACCTTTTATGATGATATCTGCGGTGGATGGAAATTTCCGTGTGACCGTGTGTAGGCTGAGACAGTCATTGTGATCCAGATGTGGGCTGCAGCAGCAATCAGACGGGCGACCTTTACAGAGGGACTCCACCTGACCCTGCACACCTGTCTGTGGCACTTTCAGTAAAGTCTGTGGGGTTTCTCACATTCAGACATATCAAATAGCCGGTGTTAACCCTTTCCTCTCGCCTATTATTATTCTTGAGTTAGCACAGAGGACAAATGGTCTCCTGTTTGACAATTGCAGCGCATGATTAGGATTTTATTGCACATTTAGCAAAGACATTCTGATATTTCAACCCTACTGAGAAAAAGCTGCAGCTAACGCTTTCTTTCATTATTGATTTTCTTTAGTTTTTTAAAACCTAATTGAGTCTTTAAAATATAAGAACATTTCTGTTAAATGAAGTCTTCAAATTTCTTTTTTTATCACAACAGTTTAGTTTACAATAATAAAACAAGACATTAGAAAAAAGCAGAACAGAATATCGATGGTGATAATTATTCAATCAATGATCAGAACTGTTGCCTTTGACCTATCCATAGACTAATTGTTTGCAGCTCTTTTAAACAACGCATCATAATGTAGTTGTATCCTACAGAGCTCCCATGTAGCAAATAAAGGGTCTCCAGCCAGATCTCTAGGTGTGTTCCTACAGACAATGAACCAGTAAGAATATTGAAGTGTTTATTCATATATTCATTCTTCCTGTCTTTTCTCTCCCGTCCTCCAGGAGCGCTTTGCGGAGATGTTCGGGCAGGACGCGGCGGCAGAGAGCCGGCGCTCCCAGGAGAGCTTCAAGAAGTGGCTGCTGGCGGGGATGACCCTGGTGACCGGGGTGGTGGTGGGCTCGCTCATCGCCCAGAAGCGCATGTGAAGACCCCCCTCCCCCTACAAGAAGATAAAATGAAGGTCCCGTGTGTCTCGTCAGAACTGCTGATGATGTTTACTCCCCCCTTCCTCCCTCCACACACACCTGAGGACTCCTCCTGTGTTGAACTTTGGAGAAAAAGCCAGAGGAGAGGAAGAGTTCCTAGTATTCTTGTGCGGTTATAAAGAGTCCTCTGAAGCGATTGTTCCTTCTTCTCCTCTCGATCCGTCTTTATGTTTGTACGCATCACTTTTAACACATTTTTGGTTTCCTAATCTTGCCCTCAAAAAGCGGCTGAAACTGACCCCAGTCTTTGAAGATATTGAAAGTGGTTTGTGGTATAGGTCCCGCGAACTGGCTTCTCGCGTGCCAGCTGCCGCAAGCTGTCCGCCCCTCGCAGACGGTTCTATGAATGAGCCTACAATGGGAGAGTGAGAGCAGGGAGGAGTAGCATCTGCTCTCTGAACAAGCTGCACTGTGAACATAACCCTAAACGTTCTACGAATGAGCCTAATGGAGAGTGAGAGCAGGGAGGATGTAGCATCTGCTCTCTGAACAGCTTCAGTGTGAACATAACCCTAACCCAACCATTGTTCTGTCCTGCCCACTCCTTTGCTCATTGGTTAGTGTGAAAAAGAGCCGTGCAGGGATGTGTCCTTAACCCCGAAATGAGTTAGCATTGCAGATTTTCCTTCCAGTTCGCATTTATGAAAGTCAATGTTTTTTCGGATAATAAGAGCTGTGGTAAACACAAGCTTACACATATTTTTTTACGACATCCCACTGGTGAATGTCTGAAGCTTCTACGCAACTGGTTGAAACTACTAAACACCATCAGGGCAAAATTGAGTCCGTTCCTAGTCTAACCTTAGCTAAGTACTTCTTGCAATTGCATTTGCTATAAAAGTGAAGTTAATATTTGAAGTGAATCCATCTGAACAAAACGTGAAAGTATCATAAACGTGTGTTTGCCAAAGCTCTTATTTTCTGCAATATTCCAAAATCGAATGGATAAATGGTATTGATTTTTGTGGAAGGAGCCCTTGCTATGCTCAATCCCGGGTTTACAAAAATACGTCATCATTGCACCACTGTATGAGAAGGAGTCGAAAATATCTTAGCTAACAGGAGTCTTAAACTCAATCCCTAGCTCTGTCAGTCCATTCAAACCCCCGCTGACCGCACATTCTGACCCGTGTGTCAGTTTCTTGTACGACTGCGTCCATGTTCCCCTCTCAGTCGCTGAGGAACGCAGCAGATACTGTAGCACCCTGAACACACCCCATAGAGATCTGGCTGTCTATTTTGGCAACCCCTTTATTTTAACCCTCCCTATTTAGCATCTATTAGCACATGTGCACATGTATTCATTGGTCTGTAAAACACTATACAAGTGCTTATCAATGTGTGAGTCAACAATTATAACTTTTCCTACAATGCGTCTGAGTTCAACATTTAGCCAGTAAGACGTTTATTAATGACACGGTCATTCACAGGCAGGTTGAAATGGTCAATTGTCCGTGCAATTGAAACATTGTTATTGGTTGATTATCTGTTAACTGCTAAATTATTATTGTTGAAAACTACATTAATAAACACTTAAATATCCTTTTGTCTGTTTACAACTACATTATGATGCGTTGTAAACAATTAACTTATCGTTTAAAGAGCTGCAAACAATTAGTCAGTTTATGGATAAGTCAACGGCAACAGTTTTGATAATTGATTGAATAATTATCAGCATAGATATTCTGGTTAAATGTGAGGATTTGCTGCTTGTTTTTCTAATGTCATGTTATATTATTGTAAATTAAACTGTTCGTGTGATAAACGACGACATCTGAAGACTTGATTTTTTAGAGAAAGTATTAGCTGCAGCTTTTTCTTGGTAAGGTTAAAATAAAGTGTTTATCATTTCTGTGCTAAATTTGAAATAAAATCCTAATCATGTGCTGCAATGCTCCTCTGTGCTATCTCAATAGTCATTCCTAACTACAAAGCATTACTCAAATGTACGTGTCTCTCAGTTTCCCCCCGGAAACATCACAGCCCTTTTTGTAGCAAAGTGAAGAGACAAAGCAGTTCTGCCTCACATGTGTTTTCAGTTTAATTAAAAAAGTGTCTGTTTATCAGCCAATCAGCAGCTCTCAGCGTCTGCAGGACACACACACCTTCCCATCTCACACACTTTCACTCCAAGTTATCCAGCCGTAGCTCTCATCCCCTCCCCCCCGCCTCATCCTCCTCACTCTCCCCCAGACACTTGAAATCTGTCAGAGCTCCATCCGTCTCTCCCCCCCCCCCTCCACCACACATCCGTCTCCACCTCCTCCTCTGCAATTCCCCCGGCTGTCACTGCACCTAGCACGTGTGTCAGTCACAGCTGGCCCACATGCTGCTACACACACACACACACACACACACACACACACACACACACACACACACACACACACACACACCCACCATGTATAGATCACTTCAGGGGACATTACATTGACTTACATGCATTCCCTGGAGACTTATCCTAACCCTTAACCATAACCAACACATGCCTAACCCTAACCCTTACCCTTAACCTTACCCTAACCAAGTCTTCAACCTAAAATTAATGATTCCCCTTGTGGGGACCTCCATTATGTCCCCATAAGGGAGGCGAGTCCCCACATGTGACTGTGTAAACAGATGTAGGTCCCCACAAGTATAGCAATGCTAGACCACACACACACACCTACCAGTCACATGTAGTGTGTGAGAGACGAGGAGACCCTTTCTTTGTTTCCGAACATCTTTCCATCTTTAATTTAAGTCGGAGGAGGGTTTGTCGCCTGGTGTTTCATGCACCAACAACTGGCAGCGCCATTAATTCACTGGGAAGGGTGGGGGGGGTACTTCACCCTGTTCCCAGTACCCCCACCCAGTGTTCAATCTGGATCTCATCCCGAATACTGTCTCCAGCTTACTACATTTTCTCGTGTGTTACAGCAGCTCAGTACAGGCCATTTTCTTATCAAAGATGTTGAGCCATAGAGTGAACATTTAAGGGAACATCGCCTAAATTAAGATTATTTTTGTGACCTAGAAAATCAACATTAGTGACCATGAGCTTCTCTCTCAAACCCAAAACCGTTCCAGACACCTCAGAGCTAAGATGTTTTCCAGTGAAAAGATTCCGACGTCTGCCCTCCATGTGTTCCAGGTGCTGACGTTTCTGGAAAGTGTTTTCTCAGAAGCGCAGCCTCCACATTTTTGGAGCATTTGTAAGTGATCTCAAATAGCTTTTGCTGCAGAGAAGATAACCTACAGAGATTGTAATCACTGACATTGGCGAGATATTTTGATATAGATTGAAGTTTGGAACTATGCATTAGCTTGTATTGCTTTAATTAAATACAGACATAAATACTTGATGTTGCGTTTAAGTTGGTGTTTTACCGTTGACAATGTGTGTTTCTCCATTGTTGTGTGACGTCAGAGAGCTGTCTCTTTGTAAAGTCAGAGTAGATACATTTTCGAGTAGAAGCTCTGACTTCAGGTGGCGCTCCATTTGAGTTTTTTTAGTAGAAGGTTGTTATTTTCAAATGTCCACGTTGTCTGGAACGCAGCATGAGCTCCAATCTTGTCATGTCAGCAGGTAATAAGTCTGGAGCTGCTCCGTAGACAATGGATGGTAGAATGATTGTGTTGACCCACAGATGCTTATTTTATTTTTGAATACCCAAATGAGCATTATTCCACTGCTCTCAGAAAAATGTTCTCCGAATATTCCCCTGGCTGCTCTCGTGTGATCATCTCTCACCATTCATTGTCTGGAGCACTTCTTTATGACATCACAATAATAGCATTCTAGTTGTTGGATTTAGGAGTTTGTGATGCTCGTATCTTTTGACTGTCTTAGTCCATAGAAAGAATAAGAATCATTTGGATTTCTGCAAGAAAAATCTGTCTCATGTCTCTTCATCCACCTCCAATTGTCCTCTTTTTCCTCATGTTCACTGAATCGTGTACATCTATACACTCTTCTGGATTTCCCTTTCTAAACTGATGGGAATAAATATGTCAACCAATAAAAAACAAACCTCTGTTTCCTCTGAATGCTCGTGTCCGGAGCGTCTTACTAGCCAAGGTCTGCTTTCATACATTCCAGTACAGTATCTATCTATTTTTCTAGTGTTCTAGTGTATGCCCCACAAAGAAGCTGCTCCTGGTCCCTCACTCAACCCCCCCCCCCCACCCCCCTGCACATTATGTGTGTGTGTGCATGCGTGTCAATTACTGTGCGGAAAATGTTCTTGATGGAGGCACAAATGAAGGAAGTGTGACAGCATTGGCACGCCTCTCTCTATAAATATATATATATATATGCTAGTTATTTAAACTGATTAGAATAGTGTGTTAGCTTAGTAACATATTTAAGGAGAACAGAAGTGATTGCTTTTTAAACATTGTTTATATTTGGTGTAAAAAGCATAATTGTGCCCCTTGGAATGGCCTTAAACTCTTTGCATTGATGTGCATTGTGTTTCTTTGTTTTTTAGGGTTATTGGAGAACATGCTAAGTAAAAGACTATTTTCAAACTGTTAGCTCTCTTGTCGGCCATAAAGAGGACACGACTAAAGATGTCTGTTTGTATGTCTTAGAATGCCGTTGTAAAATGAATTGACATTGAACCTAATAAAGCCAATGTTGGAACATGAACTGAGTCTGCCGGGTCTTTCTGAAGTCTTGGATAGAGAGTGTTCAAGCGTGCATGAAGAGACGCTCATTAAGACATGTCAAATATTCAAGGTATTTCCGGAAGAAAAATCATCCTGAAGAAAGTCAATTTGACGCCGAAAATAACTCTTCGACTGCTGTGAGGAAATGTGAATTGTTAAGCGTACATCATAGTTAGTGTGTTGCTTTACTTTGGAACACTCCAGAGAAATCCAATGGTTTGTAAAGCCCCTCCGAAGTTCATAAGGAATACAATGACAAATTCAACCTGATTTTGTAAAAAAGATCCTTATGGTGATAAGATGTAGATTCCTGTCTCTGGATTGATTCAAGCGCTTTCAACAGTGGGTGTTGCGTGCCAGGCAGGCTGTACTTGTGTGGTTTTCCTTCCCTCCTGTGTTTTCGCTCTTCTCCCTGTCTTCTGCACAGCTAATCAGCAGCTGATCGGTATCTGCCTGTGCACCTGAGTCTGAAAGCTGATTGGATCCTCTCACCCTCAGCTGGCCTATCAGCAGCCAGGGCCGACCATAAAGGAGGCACCCAGGAAGTCTTCTCTCTCTCTCTCACCCTGGGCCTGTTGCTGATGAGGAGCCTGCAATTGACTGCCTTGAGTAGAAAGTCCTTCTACTTATTTTGTTCTGTCTGACCTTTGTTAATGTGTGTGTGTTGAGAGGTTGGGGAGTTAGGTAAGTCTGGGGTACCCTGTACATTTCTCATCACGTAGGTAACTAATGTTAAGACACACTAGGTTAGCGGATTGTTGCCACCCCTGTATTTTGTTTTGTTTTTTTAGCTCAGGAAAATAGAGATCCCGGACGAGCCCCCATTTGTGTTACGTCTCCACTAAGGTCTAGGGCAGGGGTCGGCAACCCCTGGCACGCGTGCCAGCATTGGCACGCGGCACCGTAACCAGTGGCACACTAGGAATAAGTGGAATAAGTGTGCAAAAATATTTTAATTGTATTTTTGGATCCTGAACGAGACCGCCGCCAGAGCGCGTCTCCCCGTTACCTGCAGAAGGAAGCCGTGCACGCAACGCAGCCCCGCTCTCTTTATCTCCAGGTGACTTTCTGCCGCTTTCCTCCGTGGTGCAGTGCTGATCGTTTCAACACGGAGGAAAGCACTTCACTAATTGCAGTACCCATAAGGAGCTGTAAAAACGCCGCCGTTTTTGCGTGGCTGTGTATTTAGTTGAAAGACCAGTGGCGATCTGCTCAACGAGCAAGCTGGGTGCTGAGGGCGCTGCAGCACCCCCTAGCGGCAGGCAGGGGGTGCGGAGCTCCCCTGTCTGAATT